GAATTAAGCTAATAAAAAATAATAAATATATTAAATTTTAATATAAATTATAACTTATAATATGTAAAATTTTATTTTATTTAATTTTAAATAAAAAATAAAAATTTAACTAAATCACGTAAAAAAATATCATTAACAACAAATTAATATGTTAAAATAGTTTAGATTGATATTTTAATATTATTAATTAAATAAAACTAATTTTATGAAAAAACTGACATACTCATTTTTTAAGTTCTATTATTTTATTTTTTCAATTGATAGATTTTTTAAGAATTGAAAAAATTTATATCATTGAACAAACAAATACATATATGAGGATATATATATATATATATATATATATATATATATATATATATATCAAGAAGGAAATATTTACATTAATATAAATATTTTTTTAATAAAATTAGTATAATATATATAAAATGTATATTCAACGAAGTTGATGACAAAAAATAGAATAATTTGTGACAAATATATGCAAATTCAATTATTGAATATTTTAAATTTATTGTATAATTTTTTAATAATTAAAATTTTAAAATTTAATATTATAAATTATTTTGTGTATTGTATGGGACTAAACACTAGTATATATATATATATATATATATATATATATATATATATATAATTTAATAATAAATAACATTTTTTGAATTTCTTATACAAGTAATTTTAATAAAACTATTAAATACTATTTTTATTAATTATAACATATTTATTAAACATATAACTTTTCATATTATCCTTTTATAAAAACTATCAATAAGCAAAAAGGTAATTGATATAAATTTGAAATCTAACATATACTAACAAAAATTATATTGTTATCTACAGTAGAATTAGCTCTTAAAATTATTTTAAAGCAGATAATCTAAGAAAATATCTTAGTTTTCTGCTATTGTATAATAAGACCACTAGATCCACTTATAAGGGAATTTTGGAGAAAACAGTGTCACGACTAAGCTCTTGGAAAGCTTCCTCTCTCTCATTTGCAGGTAGATTGACCCTTGTCAACTCAGTTATTTCAACTTTGCCTATCTATATTGTGCAAACAGTCATGTTTCCTCAGGCCAACTGTGAAGAACTTGCTAAATACGGGAGGGACTTCTTATGGGGAGACACCCAGGAGAAGAGAAAATCTCACTTGGTTAATTGGAATTCAGTTTGTAAACCAAAAGCTTTGGGAGGTTTAGGTCTGCGACACTCTAAACATATGAATTATGCGTTCATGATGAAAGTTAGTTAGGGTCTAATACAAAACAAAGATGCGCTCTGAGCTAAGGTAGTGAGATCTAAATACAAATGTGGTGTGACATAATACCTATTGTAATAGAAAACAAAAAGAGTCCAACTTATGGCACGATGTGTGCTCAAGCTAGAAGGTTCTGAGTGCAACCTTTTATGCAGAATTGGTAATGGAAATAACATCAAATTTTGGTGCCATAATTGGGTGCCGAATGTTGGCCCTTTGGATAATGTAACTTTGCATCCAATTTTGCATAGTGACAAGGAGGCTAATCTAAATGTGTTCTTGTTAGTCTTAGGAGCTTGGGACTTATAAAAATTACAGCTAAGTCTCTCCCAACATATTTGTGAGGTGATTATGGGGATAGCTCCACCATCCCCTTGGAATGGTCCAAATAGTATAGCCTGGAATTAAACTAGTAATAGTTGTTAGAATTTTCTATAAAATTCGTTATAGACTACAATCAATTGTGGTTATTTTTATTTTGTTAGAAATGAGCTAATATTGCAATAGTTGTTAGATTTTTCTATAAAATTCGTTATGGCCTACAATCAATTGTTGTTATATTTATTTTGTTCTAATATTGTGATTTATTTGATAATGCTTAAGCCTATTAATAATATGATTAATTACTTATGGACTTTGGACACTTAATATTGATCTATGTGGGATATAGTGTAGGCCTAATCTCTAGGTCCATAATGGAAAGTGTCTAAGGTTAATAAATATGGTGGCTAAGTTCCCTTTGCCATCACATAAACACATTTCACTGCTCTCTAAGTTTACCTATTGAGAACCTAGGATTAGAAGAGCGTGATTAGGTAAAGGAGGATCTTAGTTTTTCACTAATGAAAGGATTCACACTTCACTTAAGTCATTTATAATACAATTTATAATGTCTATAAGTGACTTTATCACTGCTTCATAATTAATATTCTAAATTTATATAATTAGATCTAACTCAATTTATTCCTACAATGGTCACTTCTCTATCAAATCTGCTTACTTAGCCATTATGGGGCAATAAGAACAACAAGTAAGTCTATTTAAAAGCATATGGAATTGGCAGGATCCTCAAAGAGTTATAACTTTTCTTTGGTTAGTAGATAAGGATGCCCTTCTCAATAATCAAAATAGGCTCAATAATGTATGTCTTACGAGACTGTGAGAAGGCATTGGAAGTTTGGAAGAGCTTTGTGCCTACAATTGCTTTGTAAACATTTTTGTCTATTGGTAGATACAGTAGATTAGTTATAACCTTTCTCATGGTTGGGGACGATATACAACTAAGGAATGGGCGATTATTTTTGGAAATATTATCTTGCTACTATGGCGGCATAAAAACATTTGAGGAAAAAATGGTCAGCAAATAGAGTATTGTTCGACAAGTTTGGGCTAAAGTTGCTGAAAATATAAAGATATTTGAGATCAATTGTTAACTGGATCCAAAAAGAGATATCTTACGACCTTACGTCAGTTGGTACCCCTCCTCATGGTTGGATGAAATAGAATTCAGACGATTCAGTTATTACTTAGAATGAAAATGGTGGTAATGTTTTGCAAGACAGTGAGGGATTTATGCTTATGCAGTGAACTTGGAGAAGTGCAATATCATGCAAGCTGAGCTTTGAGAAATTTTGCATGGACCTCAGCTTGCATGGACTTTAATTAGCATAACAGCTAGGTGTACAATAAATACTTGTGAAATCTAATTCAATTAGTAGAGTATTGTATTTAAATTATAAAAATACAGTAAATATTTTTTTTCTAATAAAATTTTATTATTATTAACTGTTTATCTTAATTCTAAGAGTTAATTTTAACAAAACTTATAATAATTAATAGTTACATTATTAACATAATTGAAAGGTCAACGAAATAGTATATAATATTAAATAACATTGACAACTAATTAGTAACATTTTATTTATATTATTATGTACCATTAATTATATATTATATTTTTAGCTTTTTTTTAACCCATTTAATTATATATATATATATATATATATATATATATATATATATATATTATCAATAGTGATGTTATTGAAGAAGTTAAAAATACATCAACGATCTGTTTGATGAATATAGTTAGATTTGAAATAATGAGATATAAAAGTTTAGATAACTACGAAATATTATAAGAGTATCTTTTATTTTATTTTTAAAAATTTTTTAAGAAAATAAATAAATAAAATAATGTCATTTTATTAAATATTTGAGATAAATAAAAATAAATAATATAACAGGATTTAAATATTAAAATGATAAGACTATCCTTTTATAAAATATAATATAGTTTTGTAAGCAAACAAAAAAAAATAATATAATATTTAAAATTAACTTTAACTTTAATTTGTTGACTTTTCAATAGAAAATATATGAATATTATAAAACAAATTAACAAAAATTAAAAAAATTTATGTACAAAAAAAATTGGTAAATTGGCATTAAACTACAATATTTTTTTAAAATTATTTATGCAATTAAAATTTATTTTTGAAATAAATTACAGTTAAAACAAAATGATTATAAATAAATTTCAATTAAATTTCATAGAATGAGAATATGTTTGATGAAATTATTTTTTTATGAGATTTATTTTTTTTAGAAAAAATGTTTATTTAATATTTTTTTGAAAAATTCATTAAATTTATAGTTAATAAATTATTAATTTAAATTTTTTTTGAAGCGGGTGTGAAGTGTGAATGAATTGGTCAAAATCGTGAAAAACTGGTTTAAAACTCAATTTAAATTGGTTATTTCATATTTTAATAAAATTTATATCATAATTTAAAAATAAAAACTCATATATGATATATATGCATAAAAATTATGATTATCTATTTCAATGCTTTTATTTTGTAAATCATGTAATATGATTATTTTATAGTAATTTAAAATTTCAATTAATTTAATTTTTGCAATTTAATACTTTACATATTATATAATATTAAAATTAAATATTTTATTATTAATGACTTGATTATAGTAAAACAGTAATTAAATCAATAATAATAAATTATTTCTATCGGTTGAAAGACTCATATAATTTGAAAAATAAGAATATTTTATCTTGTAATAATCTATTGTAAATTGGCGTGGATGCTTCTATAATATTTTATACTGCTATTTAAATATTCTATATATTTATTCTTAATTTATCCGTATAGCTTCACAAAATATCATATTTTTATTATATGTTTTTTAATTATTAAATATAATTTTAGGATAAAAGACTTAATTTAAAACATTTAAAAATTAAATAAATTAAATATCAACAATTAAAACTAAAAAAATAAAAGTACATTAAATTATAGGAATCAAAATTGTGATTAAGCCTATATTATTCATTTTTATATTATAAATGTAAATATTCATTAATTTATAGGATTCACTTTCTCTCCTTACATTAATTACTTTTCAAAGGTGAAATTAATTTAATCAGTCTATAATTTTTTTATATTATCATCTGATTATAAATTATTATATTAATAAAATATTAATTTGTATAATAATTAATATAAAATTAATATCTATAATATATTTTAATTAATTAATATTTTATTTTTATACACCGTGCATTATATTTAACTCTTTAAATATTTACAATTTGATTCTGTGACATCATATGAAATTGATAAATAAAAAATTTATGTATTTTAATTGAAATAATATATTTTTATAATTTATTTTAAACTTCAAAAGTGATGTTATATCTTATACAATGAGTAGTTTATTTATATGCTTGAAAGAGGAAGGGCGAGGGGCTTAGGGTTCCAAAAGACTGAAACTGATCTCGTGAGCGGCTTCTTCACCACTCCAACAATAGCCGTCTTCACATCGCGCTTCACAACCAGGTTAATTTTCTAGTCCCTCTGAGAATTTGGTAACTATCCTCATTATTCTCTCCAATCCTAATCCGCAATATAAACATTCCAAATAAGCTCTTGTTGATTTTTGTCCTTTGATTCCTCTATTTTTTTTTCTCCTTTTTATCCTATTTTCATCCTTGCTTTTAAATTTTTATATTGCAGGTTCTAGTTAATGTTCTATTTCTTTTAAAATTCATATTGTAGGCCTTCAAATTGCATAACATGTATTTGTCCATCCGTTGCTCATTCTTTATGAATATCTAAAATCTGAACTGGAGAAAAAAAAGGTAATGCAGGCCTTATCAACTTTGGTTCCAAATATTGAGCTAGCTGTTGTGAATTGTCTCTCTGCAAGTACTTTTATTCTTTATGTTTGTTAAACGTTTCAGTTCTCACAAAGGTTGTAACTTGGTATGCAGCTTTGTTTTCACTCCAATGACGAAGAAGAGTTCTAAAATTACACCAAGTCAAGAAGAAAATACAGTTGCGGAAGAGGAAAAACCCTCGTCTACACGGAAAGAAGCAGGTAACGAAATTGATGAAATATTTGCCGGAAAAAAGAGGAAGAAGTCTGAAGTGGAAAAGAGTGGAAAACCTGATGAAGTAACTAAGAGAACCAGTAAAAAGAAAAAGAAGAAGAACGTGAAGAGGAAGACTGATGGGTCAGATGATGGTGAGTTTGTAGACCCATCTTCTCGACCAAGAAAAAAAACAGAGGATGGACTTTCTGTTTACACTGAAGAGGAGTTAGGTATTAATAATACGGATGCTGGAAATACCCCACTCTGCCCATTTGATTGCTCTTGTTGCTTTTGATGGTAACTGTAAAACATTACTTGGAATCATTAATGATGTGTTTGTCACTTACAGTTTTGGATTTGTAAGGTGGGGCTTTGTTTTTCCCTTATTATAGTTTAGCCAAAATTGGTCTGAGTTATCATGTGTTGAGCTTGAATTATTTGGTTCTAGATATGATTCCTTAGGAGATTTCAGATAATAGAATTTTGGAGCAGTTAGTCTTCCTCTCATCCCCTGTAACACAATTATTTATGCATATCTGCAGATATGTTTGAGAAATTCATTATAATTCTGGGTGCTGGAATTATGTCTGTTATATATATTTTAAAGACATTTTCTCATGTTTAATCAAACTCAACTTATTTAGATTTTTTTCTTATTATTTTTATGATTGAAATTTGGAACAACAAAAAAATTACCTAACATCTTTAGACCTTCATAGTTTATATTAGTATGCTGTATTGTGGCTGCATAAGTTGTACAGGAATGAATTTTATTATGTCTTTTCATTATGTTTATTGAAATTGCACCAATGTTAGTGTGATTTTACCATTTCACAACCCAATTTTTCTATATTAGGGAAAACCATTTTCCCCTTTCATCTTGGTGCACCAGCTTTAGAGTCCTTGCACTGAACCAGTACCATATTTGGTGTAAAATTTAACCTTTAATGCCTCTGCTAAATCATGCGAATGATCCTGTGTTTCTGTTGTCCACCTCACTTATATTTGATCGCTTTGAAAATAAAGTGCCAGTTTTGAATTCAGCCAGCAGAATTATGCATGATATTTTAAGGGTTACCATTTACTTTCAGACGGAATTAACCAGTGTCATTGAGTTGCCATTAGTCACCGTCTTCTTTGTCCATACCAGTATTTTCCAGATTCAAATCTTGACCCTGAATGCCAACACCTGTGTGTGATGGAGGTGGAACTAAGAAGTTCCAATGTTTCTTATTGTTTTGTTTGGAAGTTTGAAGAGAGAAAAAATAAAGATCTTTGATAGAGAAGGGAGGAGGAAGGGTTAACAAAGAACTTAAAAACATGGATTTACACTTATTAACTTCTTTTCAGATTTAAAAATTCTCAAACAAATATTAAATACAATTTTTCTCTAATATGGTTTCGACCCTCTCTTTGATGCTCGGTGCATTATTTTATGGGGATATCCAGTCTCAGATTTACATGGAGATTGGACTGCTTTTGTGCTTCGTAATTTTAATTTTTAGCAGTTTTATAGTGGAAGTGGAAGACATTGTCTCGTCTTTTAATTATTTTTTTTCATGATGAATTTCTTAATGTCTTTCCTTGGTTCTTCCTTTAAAAAATTAAGAAAAATTATATCTATAGTTTATTAATTTCTACACCTTTTTTGGTCTCGACTTTTAAAAGCTACAAAACTAAATTTAACTTTTCTATTAACGACATTAACGTTTAAATTTTTTTCGTTTTGTATTACGTGTACTGTTTATCTTTGTCTTCATATTTATAACTTCTTTCTTTCCCACATCTTCCTTCCTCTGTTCCTCTAATTCATTATCTTGGTCCTTCTTATTCAATGGGGATGGATCGAAGGTGTAAGAAGTGGATTTGAAGAGCAAGTTTTTGCAACAGTGAAGAAACATTTGGGTTTGAGGATTTGAGGAGAGAGGGGGAGGGGCACAGTTCAAAGTCCATTTGTTTGGTACATGGCCAAGCTGTACCTAGAGGACATGCTTTATAGCGTGTTGGACTTCTGTTATAACCGTTTTCAATGGAAGAACAGGGAGGAAAAGAAAAAGAAGAGAAAGAAAAGAAGCAATTTTAATAGAATTAATGTTTTTTTAATAAAAAAACCTTATTTAAAAAGCTTTTAAAATTTAGAAGGTTAAATTAAATTTTTTAAAAATTAAGAGACCAAAGTAAAAATAAAAACTAAAAAATTAGAGAATAAAAATATAATTCTGCCTAAAAAATTATACTATCGGTTACAGTATTTACCATACAAGTCTTCATGTTTTGACCCAACATTCCTCAGCTCTTGATCCTAACTATGGTATTTTGTCTAGGCAATTAATGAAGGTGTAATCATTCTTTTTAAATGATTTTGGGTCTTTGAAGTGCCGTTCTCTTATGTGGTGGATTCATAAGCTCTGAATCAATTTCTGGTTACAATTAGGCCTATTAGATGGTAAAGTAATTTATTTCTCCAAAAACGTTTTCTTGCGGCAAAAAATAAATAATGATCAGTGTACGTGTAGCAAATGAAAGCTTAAATTGATTATAAAAAGGCTTGAATATATTTTTGTCCAAAATATAATATTTTATTTGGTCTTTCATTTTAAAAACGCTGCAATATAGGTTTTGCAATTATATATTTATTTATTTCCTGTTAGTCTTTCATTTCTTTACCCACTATATGCCATTTTTCGTACTCGTTTAGACCTAACATGTAGACACATTTGCTCTCATATTCTAGTGACATGTAAACACATTTTTGTGATTAACATTTTGCATATGTTTGTGAATAACATAGAAGCAAGACCTGTAGGCTCATGTTTGTCATGTTACGTGACAAATATTATGCCGCACTTAAGAAATGTACACAAGTCACGTTTTTGTAAGTAGATAAACTTTGATTAGAAATGACATACGATGTCGCACCATGAACATGTGTAACACCAATACTTAGAATGGTGTGGTTTGTTCCATTCTATAATCCAACCATTTGTCTTTATATTCAGAGTATGTCTCAAAATGATAATGAATTTCTTAACAAAGCAACTTGTTTTGCATTACCTATACTTCTATGACGTGTCATCAATCCAACACTTCCAAATAGCGACTAAAATTTCATTTACTTAACGTAAAATGGAAACCATTTCATACCTCTAAGAACAATTCCATTTATCATTCTTTGCCAAAGTATTATATTATTTTTCATTGCATTCTTAATTAGGACTTTAGAATTAAATGATCAATCTACCTCAAATTATACTTTACCATTATCTTTAGGTATCTTAAGCTTGGAAGATCTTTGTTTTGGTTAATAACTGCTTTAGTATTTTTAAAATTTTGAAAATCATATAGGAGATTGACTTCAATCAATTAATTGGTTCTAAAGCTACGTATGCAGACCAATCTCTGATTCCATATAGATTCTAATGAACCTACATTTATCCAGCTCATTAACCTTCAATGAAAATGAACTAGTTCGCATGCCTAGGGTGTTTTTTTCTTTCACAAAATACTTGATTATAGATGTATATATACGTAAGTCAGATGGTCACAAACCAAGGGACCGAATCAGTTCAGTCCACCAGCATCGCAGACAAACCTGAATCCTAAAATAATCTATTTTAATGAAGCAAAATCCTACTATCAAATATGGACATAGAACTTCTTAGGGCATACAACTTACAAGATTCCATTTAAGAGAGTAATGAGGACCCACCCCAAGAAAATCGAGACCGGATTTAAAATCTGCCTACCCTTCTAGTCACGTAATGCTGGGAAAAAACAAAGATACATTTTCCCGTACAAGCATACAAACGATTTGTTCATGTTAATCATAGCGTGCATAAAATGAAATGTAATATGTAGCTTTAGTGATGCCAACAAATCAAATAGATAAAAATTCAAACTAGGCAAGAATCATCCAATTCGATTGAACTCTGAAACAATTAATTGCAAAATACTTCAATGAACTCGGATGTATTTAAATTGCAAAATCATAAATGTTAGTCAAAATCACCCTCGTGAAACAAGACTACAAAAAACTACGGCAAAGTTTAAACTTCACCATATGACTATCGGAAAGCAGCTTATGCTGTGACAGTTGGTTTGGAAGCACTGGAAATTTTGGATCTCCGCTTGGCCAAGCTCTCACTCCGGCGTTCCCTCTGCTCCTTCAATCTAGATGCAAGGAGTTTCTGGTACTCTGCTGCTTCTGATTTTGCCTTAGCAATTCTCTTTTTCTTATCTGAAATCCTTGCTCGCTTCCTTTGGAGTGTCAAAGGAGTGACCAGTCGTTGAATCTTTGGTGCTTTGCTTACTTTTTTCCCTGTAACCAATTAACCACTACTTAGACATCACAAGTCATGAGGGAGTCCTTAAATTATGAGTAAAATAATTCTTTTAATCAAATGGGTCGTATAATCCACAATCTAAAGCATATTATAGATATGTGTGTCTCGGTATCATATTTGGAAGGGTAGAACATGAGAGTGGCAGCGCTATCATTAGTGAAAGTAATGTTTTGCCTATACTAAAAAATAAAATATTACATGTGCATGTTAGAACATACAAGTTAGGTGATAAGCATTACCATCAAACAGTTGAATAAATTCAAACTTAGAACTAGGCAGTTGATACACGACAGGAATGGTTTACTTCCAAACTTTGTTTTTCATTACCAAATTTTTTTTCTCCATCTGCCCAGCATACGTAAGAGCTGATAGAGAATTTAAGGACATCAGAAACTTACCAGCTTTTGTTGTAAAGGTTCGGCGGTAGGTGTTAACATACTTTCTCACATCATCTTCCTTGGACAGGTTAAACAGTTTCCTGATTTTGGATGCTCTCTTTGGACCCCTCATCCTTGGCTTCTCAAGATCAGTCAGACCTGGCAAATCACTTTCACCCTTCTTCACAATTACCAAGTTCAAAACAGAGAGGTCAGGACTGACAATGCACCCACGAACAGACTTCCTTCTACGCTCTCCATTGCGCCTTCCATATCCACGGAAGCAAGGAGTTCCTGCTCAAATGAAAAGAAAAATATTAACCAAGTCTGGAAACAAGCATGACTGTGGCTATATGAGAATTCAGCAACAAATAGATTTCTAATGAAAGATATTAGTCATTGCATAAATACACAGGCATCCCCCAAAAACAAATATATATCAATAAAATAAGAACCAGGGACTAAAAATTATCAAACAAAGAATGGGGTCATAGAAAGAGGAACTCATTGTAAATTGTACAATTATCAGCGCCACAGCCAAATGTAGAGTATGGCATTTGTACCAATGCTGCCAACACCGATCAATTATAATTATGATAATCAACCACAAAAGTCAAAACCAATAGGTTGAAGCTTCAGAATAATCCTACCTCTATGGAGCAACAGCCGTACACGACCAGGGGTCAACACTCCCTGCTTCATTGGGAATCCTTGTTTGTCACACCCACCAGTGATTTTAAAAACATAGCCTTTGAATTCCTGGCAGTAGCAAAATTACAAGGTGAAGGATCATTTATTAATGCTCCTCAAAAACCGGAGAAGACATGTAAGATTTCCATTCGACGTGCATACCTCACCAAGAGCATCACCAAGAACCTCCTGTGAGATTCTCTTGTCCCAAAATGCGCGACTGCAATATAATATAGTAGCAGATAAACAGGTCACATAAATACCGAAAACCCAAAAACACTAACATAAAAAAGGAACTTGAATTCATAGCAGCTAAAGAGTAAGTAAAAATTAAAAAATCAAATTACCATGAATATCAAGTCAACTAAGACATTAATGTGTATCAGGTAACAAGTATGGAGCAACTTAATTATAAAGCTATCAATTTTAATAATAAAAAAGTACGTTACGAAACAATTTTTAAAGAAACGATTATACTCAAAATTCCTTTTGCAAATTGGAAATCCAAATCAATTGGAGACCCAAACACAGAGCAGAAAGCAACATTGAAGCAAATCTTGGTTTCTGAGCATCAGCTATAGACAATCCCAAGAGAAAAATGAAGAGAAAGTAAAAAGATTACAGTTTCTGGTCGTCATCAATTTCCAGCTTCTTCTGGCATCCAGTGGTGGGATTTGCAATGTTAAACTGCGGAAAAAATGGAAGATGTCTCATACACAAAAACAGGAAGATCGAAACATTGAAACACGTGGGGTTTGGAAACAACACCTTCATCTTGCAATATCCTTCTGATCCCGCCGCTCCTACCTCTGTGAGTGCCTTTGGAAACTATAACATACGCATAAGCTCAGTAATAACGAAAGAGGGTAGGGTTTTACGCATTTTTGGGCTTTTATTCGTTCAACTTCAATGTCTTTTTGGGCTGATAACAAGCCCAACCCAGCACACATTTGTTTCGATTTGAATAAGAGTGTAGGTTCAGTTGACAAAAAAAAAAAGTGTAGGTTTGGTAAAAAAAAAAAGTGACAACCCAGGCCTCTCCATTTTGAACTTCATTGGTGGAGAAAGAGAAATCAGTCACTATGAGATCATTAAATTTAATGAAGAAAAATAACCATGGTTAATGAATCCTATTCTTTTTTTTAAAAGGACGTGTTTGGATAAACAACTTAATAAAATCCTTATATTTTATTACAATTGTATTTTAGTATTTTGTTTTGGTATAAAAGTATCTATGAAATACTAGATTAATAAAAAAAAAACTTTAATTAGCCGATGTCTCCTTTGCTCCATAACTTGGGCATAAAAAAATATTATTCAACTAAAGTGGAACTTAATACATTTAACCTTAATTTGAACGGTTTAATTTCATTTAAAATGTTTATATGACATTTTTCTTGATATATGCATAAGAAAAGCTACAACAATTAATGAAGGATAATAAAAAAAATTACAAATTCTTTTGAAACAGTTTATATTTCATTTAAAACGCTTTTGGTAATAAATAAAAGAGAATAAAAAAATTACAAATTCATTTAAAGTAAGTTTATTTTTAAATAAATAAATAATTTATTCTAAAATTATTATAGTTTTAATTTATTAAAATTTAAAATAATTTTTTATTCACTTCAAAAGTTGTAAAAAATGTATTAGAAGATAAAATAATTTGACTAAACTCTAATTTTGATCACCGAAAGAATTAGCGTCCAACATATTAGTTCCTAAAAAATTAAAAATATCACATTAGTTTCTAACTTCTATCTCTGTCGTTCATTTTAGTCTCTAAACGCAGACTCTGTTAATAAAGACTTACAAAGTAAAAGAAAGATGACATATCACACATTAAGTGTAATGTCAAAAGTCCAGTTAGCAAAAATGACATTATTTTGAAAGGTTTTGGGAAAGTGTACATGGAAAAATAGTTTTAATTAGCAGAAAATGCATTGTTCTAAACATTACAACACATTTCTCCTTTTGTCTCTCAGAAGAACCTAAAATTTTTTGCAAAATCTCTTCGTAGTTGTGTTTGGCCCTGAAAAATTTAAAATTAAAATTTATTATACTCATAAAAAGAATATGTTTTTGCCATTTAAAACATTACAACATCTTTGTGTCGTTTGAGAACTTGACTACAGAAGTTGTGTTTCTTCCATTGACTGAAGCGAAACCATGTGAATCAGCTTTTTGACTTGCAACTTTGTTAGCTGCAATGCTTGAAAGTGTCATTTGGCACTTCTCTTGCTGCTTCTAAAATTTTTGTAGTCTTTATTGCAACGCTATCTGAAGATCCAAATACGCACATAGTTTCAGAGTTTAAATTTGCACAAAGAGTTTTCAAGAATTAAAACCAAGTCATGTATCAAGGAGTATAGTAAGTCAAAGTCAGAAAGACTAAAAATTGAGAATTTGACAAAACTTTAATGTTTGAACATTTAGGACACTTTAAAATTTTTTGAAACGACGCCGTTTCTCAATTCTTAAAAACGTTGTAGTTTCTATGAGTTAAACTTTTGACATGACACTTAATTTGATATGTCCACTTTCTATTACTGTTTGTTAACAGAATTTGACTTTAAGGACTAGAATGAACAATAAAAATAAAAATTAGAGATTAACGTAATATTTTTAATTTTTTAAGAATTAAAATACTAGACACAAACTCTATAAGGATCCAAAATAAGAGTTTAGTCAAAATAATTTATAGAAAATACTCGCACTTTCTTGAGCTACTGCAAAACTTCAAACTCAAAAGTTGGTCTACAATGGTAAATCACAAATCAATATATGAACCTCACTTGGCAGCAAGCACACCAAATGGCTAGTTACCTCTCCCTCAATTTGCATATATTGAGGCCATGCAAATTGTAGCCAACAAGGTAAAGACATCGAGCCAAAGTACAATAGCCCAAAAATATGTATTGAGATTTTAAACGCGAATAAGCTCTAGATTATAGACTTTTTACAACAGCAATTACAAATAATACAGAACTCTAGCTTTAATTATGCCAAAAATAGGTGTTAACCCCAAGGTTCAGCAGGAATATTTCATTCTCTCATTTGTATGTAAGCAAGCATTACATTTTGTAATGTCTTGACATTTTCTTCAAATGCAACTATCTTGGCCTTCAAACTAACAATCTCCTCTTTCTCAATTGAAAACTTTCACCTGAATGGATCTTGAGCAATTGCAACTACAACCTATGCCACTGAATATTGCAGTGGATGCAAATGCAATACTATGAAGACCAAGCAACGTACATGTCCTAGGTGATTTTTTCCCAACACTTCTGCAAGAGCATCAATAGTTAAAACTTCAGCAGAATTAGCACTTTTAACTTATTTCCTGGGTCATCTTTTCCTATACATTCATAACAATTAACTATTAGATAGTCATGTTGCCAACACTAACAGAAAGTTGTGGTAAGAGTGATACATAACATTCAGCTGATGCAAGATGTGATGGTAAGCTTAAGGTGGTTAGTTTATCTATATAGGATGATAATTAATGGCAGAAAAATGTTAATATTGAGAGTAAATGAACTTCACGTTTAAACAAAATTAGTCCCTCATTTGAATTACTGTGTCTTGTCAAGTAAGATAGTGACCCAATACCCAGTAATTCAACTTATAAGTGGATAATAAAATTTCTCAGGTTGAATAAACTTTGCATTTGAGTTTGAGCTTCCGACAATGCAGATAGCAATGATCATATGCAGTGCACAGAGACATATGCAGGTTATGAAACTAGTTCTGTAATAAAACCATGATACAAGTTAAGTTTTTAAATTAAGCATGGTTGTTTAACCCCTGTTAAAGATGTTGACAATATTTTTCACCTGTTACGACCTGTGGAGGGTGGTGTTGCTTTGGCGAGGGGGAAGTGTATTTTATTATTTATACTATTTAGTATTTAGGGTTTAGGGTCACGAATGCTTAAAATATTACAACCAATTTCACATTAAGGATTAAAGCATTCATCTTATAATTCAAGGTTATCAACGTTCATGTATCACATTCTGATTTAACATTTCCAAATTAACAATTCATATGGATTTACGAGATCAAGATCGAACCTTATAGAATTTTCAAAAACAATATAATTCATAATTGTAGTCCAACAATGTGCCCGGAAAGTTCAGCCATAAAATATACAGACCGAACGGGCGAGTTAGCTGGAACGGAATAAACACAACCATAGATTGTGAAATTCCATTAATGTCGCAAACGAAGAAATTGCCTCGAAACATTCGCGCCAAACACGGTTTTGGGACAGAGTGCGTTTGCTCAAGTTAAAAAAGGAAAATAATAACATAATAAAAATCGAGTGGGAATGAAAATAGAGAAGATGTTGCAGTGATAAAGGGCCTGAAAGATCACAGAAGAATCAAATTCAGACGAGTGACACTGCAAGATTTGTTATCGCAAGGTTGAAAAGATGATTGACTGAACCATAGAATCATCAAGATCCAATCAAGAAGCTGACCCTGCTTTCTACAAAAATCTTGAAGTTTCAAAGAAACATAGCCGAGAGAATTATCACAACGAAAATCAGAGAAACGGGAAATGGAAAACAGGGTTTGCGCTAACGTGTGTGATGCTTATAAAAGCATTCTTGCTAGGGTTTCTGTTCTGTTTTTTATTTTATGTTATTCCCGGTCTGTCCAGATCAAATAATTAACTTATTGGCCCATTTCATGACCCAAAAAATAGGCCCATTTCATGACCCAAAAAATAGGCCCATTTGCAGCTTTTATTAACAACACAGTAACAATTAAAGATTATGTTTCACATCACTTGTCTCTTAGTATCAATAAATGTATTTTAAAATAAATTAATTCAATTTCACTGTCACAAGACAAGAAGTCACCTTTTAACACGCTTTTAAATATTAGTTAAAACTAAAAAATATATATATAAATTATTAAATTAAAAATAAAAAAGTGAGACTCGTCTAATTTTATAATTTTTAATAAACTTAAATTAATAACTAAAATTTTATTAAAAAATATGTTAAAAATATTATAATAAAATATATTACTTTTATTAAACTTTCTTTATTAAAAATGACAGAGTGCACAACTAGTTACACTACTTTATCTACTGTCTTTTCAAATATGAATCCTCTGTATGTCCAATTCTATTTTTATTTAAATAAAAATAAACTTAAACTTGCTTAAAAAGAAGAATGAACAAATAGTTTTACGCAACATTTACTTATGCCAATTTTGTTTAAACAAAAATTAGAAAACTTTGAAAATTTTCGGTAACATCAGAGTGTGAATATGAGCTATTTATATGGAGTTAGTTTACTTATATTATTTATTTAATAAAAGATACATGTGTTTATTTTTTAATTAAATTATTTTATTTAAAAATAATTCAAAATATATATTTTAAATAAAAATATTTTGAATTTTAAAAATTTTACTAAATTAAGTTATTTTTTGCTTTTAAAAATATTTATCAAATTGAGATGAGTCAAAATTTAAATTTGTAAATATTTATTAATTTTTGTTAAATTTATAAGTTATTTTTGTATATTTATGAAATTTTCAATAATAAATATCATATATTTACAATTTTCATGATAATAATGTAGTATTTTTTTTATACATTAAATTTTATTTAAATAAATTATTTAATTTTTTTTTCAATAAAAGATGACTTTATAAATTTAGTTAGCATCACTTTTTATTGTTATTTTTGTGTCTGTGACTTTCAAAATATTTATTGAATATATAGTGTTTCTAAAATAATTTTATAAAAATAAATAAATAATATAAAAATATTAAAACATGAAAAATTTTATAGTTAATATTTAAATAAAATTATAAAATAATATGTTAAAAAATTATATAAATGAAAATT